ACGCCCACTTCGTTCGTCGTCTCCAACGGGAAGTTGCTCTACCACGCCCACTTCGTTCGTCGTCTCCAACGGGAAGTTGCTCTACCACGCCCACTTCGTCCAGGCGAGTCTGAATTGAATTGGCAACTGGTCCCTCGTGCTCTCACTCCTCGGCCACCACCTACGAATCCACCAGGAGCCAGGCTTCCAAGCTCGAACAGCGATGTGGACTTAAGTCCTGAAAAAGATCTTTTTCTACACGCTCAACTGCAAGTTGGAGATCAAGAATTGGGAGAGCCGGAACCAAGACCAACAGAAACGAGTACTTGGGCACCTCGGGACTGAGAATTTTGGCCCAGCTATCCCTCCCCTCTGCATTATGTCTACAGCTTCAAGTCCAATTGATACCGCCTCCTATCTAACACAATCTTTGTTTCGTATTTTCCACACTCATCGATGTTGAGCCGAGTTCAAGCACTGGACTGCACGGCCAGGCCACAACTTTGGTGGCACTGGATATCGTTTTGCAGGTTGGGCCTCGTCAATACTTGTTCTCATCTCATCCATCCTGAATCCTCAGCATCATATCCCCTCCCACCCCCCTCTGTCCCATGGGAACACCCTGCTTGCCAGAAGAGCTGCTCGAAAAAGAAGCTAGCAAGATAGGACGAGACGAATAACCAGCTGTCCTTCTCCAGCCCCCAACCCTTGATCCCGTTTTCCCCACAACCTCAACAATCTGTCTGTCGAGGCAGGCTTGTAGTGGATACCTACCCTTCGAGGATTCGCTTAACCTACGAAGGTCCAAAGAGCCTCCTGCGGTATCGCGTCTGACCTCTTTATCGGCTCTGCCGTTGCTTCGAGACCTCGTATTCACATACCGGACGACAACTCTTCTCGGTTCAAATCGCGTAGACGAGATGAGGGCTCATCGCAGATCCCTGCCCAAACCAAGACGCTACGTCATGCTGCCGTCAATCCAGACACAGCTCGTTCACCAAGGAATCCGTTCTTATATCGGGTATATATCAACCGCGTTGAAGCAGCCTTCTAAATGAGACGCAACACAGGTAAAAAGCCAAGACTCCTCTCCTCCCCCGGTACCGAAACTGGTAAGTTGATGACCAAGACACCCACGATGCAAACGCCTGATGAAATGATTTGCACGATGAGTGATTTTCCGATTCCCGTTTTGTCCCCCATGTATCCCTGATTCGTTCGTTGAGATCGCCATCCCTGTGACACCCCTTTTTCTAGATGCCATACCCGTGGAGAATAATAATAAATGAAATGGTAAAAAGAAACTAAGGACGGACGGGAAAGACTCCGCCAATGTGTTGTTGAACACCAGGCATGGATCCACCACCTCCTGCCTGCCCGCCCGTCCTCAAACGCCGGTGGATGCTCTCTTTAGAGACCGGCATCCATGCGCCAGCCCTCGACGGGGAGGGGGAAGGTGTGGCACCAGTCCGAGATCTCCTTCCGGAGCTCGTTGATGCGGGGCACCTCGCCGCTGGCAACCTTGGCCTTGAAGTCCTTGAGCTTGTTGGCCTCCTTGGGGAGGCCGGCCTGGATCTCCTTGCAGAGCTTGATGCTCTCATCAATGTAGTCGGCGACGCGCTCAAAGTCGGCCTCGCCAAAGCCACGGCTGGTCATGGCCGGGGTGCCGATGCGGAGACCGCCGGGGGTAAGGGCGCTCCTGTCGCCGGGGACGGCGTTCTTGTTGCAGGCAATGTTAATCTGCTCGAGGACGGCCTCGACACGGGCACCGTCGAGCTGGAAGGGGCGGAGGTCGAGGAGAACCATGTGGGAGTCGGTGCCGTTGGACACGAGCTTGTGGCCGAGAACCTTGAACTTGTTCTCGAGGGCCTTGGCATTGGCGACCACCTTCTGTTGGTACTCCTTGAACTCGGGGCTGGCAGCCTGCTTAAGGGCGACAGCCAGGGCAGTGATGGTGTGGTTGTGAGGACCACCCTGGTGGCCGGGGAAGACGGAAAAGTTGATCTTGTCCTCGAGGTCATAGAGGGTCTCCTTGCCGGTCTTGGGGTCAACGGAGCGGACGCCCCTGCGGAAGAAGATCATGGCGCCACGGGGACCGCGGAGCGACTTGTGGGTGGTGGTGGTAACGACATCGGCGTAGTCGAAGGGCGAGGGGATGACGCCGGCAGCGACGAGGCCCGAGATGTGGGCAATGTCGACAACCAGGTAGGCGCCAACCGAGTCGGCAATCTTGCGCATGCGCGCGTAGTCGATCAGACGGCAGTAGGCCGAGGTACCGGCGACGAGGATCTTGGGGCGGAAGAGCTGGGCGTTCTTCTCGAGGGTGTCGTAGTCGATAATGCCGGTCTCGAGGTCAACACGGTACGGCATGGTCTCAAAGTAGGTCGAGACGGCCGAGATCCTGCGGTGAAAAGCCCAGGTCAGTCACTGCAGGAGGGGGCCAGTACCCGGGAACGTGCAAGACAGTCGAGACCAAACTTACTTGCGCTGGGGGGTCTGGTAGCCGTGGCTCAGATGGCCACCGTGGGGGAGGTCGAGGCCCATCAGCCTGCCGTGGGGAGGCATGATGGCCTGGTAGACCTGGAGGTTGGCGGGGCTGCCGCTGAGGCACTGAACGTTGACACCCCACTTGGACTCGTCGACGTGGAAGGCCGCGAGGGCACGCCTCTGGCAGAGGGTCTCGATCTGGTCGATGTGCTGGTTGCCGCCATAGTAGCGGGCGCCGGGGTAGCCCTCGGAGTACTTGTTGGACATGGGCGAGCCAAGGGCATCGAAGACGGCGCGGGAGGTGACGTTCTCCGAGGCGATGAGGATGATGGACTCGCGCTGGCGCTGGATCTCATGTTTCTGGGGGACAATGTTAGTCGGAGAGCCAGACAGAGAGACGCCGAGGGGCAGGACGAGGGAGCAATACTTACCATGATATCCGCGACCTCCGGGTCAGAGTCGAGGAGAGACTTCTCAAGCATCTGCAAGCGGTGAGTCAGAGAGAGGCTCGCGAGGACCAGGCGAGCCGGTGGCGGGGGAGCAGGCAGGCTGGACAAACCTCCTTATGAGTCTGGGGCAGGGCGTAGGTGGCCATTGTGGCTTGTGTGTGGTGGGTTGAGCTTGAGGGTGGGCAAGTGGTGTTGTCGGAGGTCTCGTGTGGTGACGAGGAAGAGTTGCTGGGAGGAATGGAGAAAATCTGCACACACGAGGGGAAGCTGGGGGGGCGACGACGGGACGACAATGGAGGGGGAGGGGTGGAGGGGGGGTTGGAAGCAGGGCGAGAAAAATTTAGGACCCCGCAATGGTCATCCAGGTTCAAGCAGAGCAAAGCAGCATCATAGGTTCTCGGAGCTGGCCAG